TCCTTATCGACTTTGTTGTTGTGGTTTTGTTTCTTTCTTTCCTTTTCTTTTTACAGGGAGGCGAAAGTGGCTCCGGTCGGGTTTTTCGATAAGTATCCGGCGCTGGTGACTGGATTCTTCTTCTTCATGTGGTAGGTGACCTGATTCGCTGCATCCTCTCCGACTGTGTGTGTCTTTCTCTTCTACTTCTGTTTCTCTGCTATACGCTGAGCTATGCTCTAATTTCCGTTATCTAGCCGTGTTTCTCTCCGTGATCATCGCTTCGCGTTCTGAAATTATGGCTGTATCCTTTTACCTTTGCAGGTACTTTTTGAATGTGATCTTTAACATCCTCAACAAGAAGATCTACAATTACTTCCCGTATCCATAGTAAGCACTGTTATTATATTCATCAAATTAATGTTTAATTTAGAGTGTTGCTTGTTAATACATTGATTAAGCAAGTTCCTGGTTAATGTAAGATGCTAATGGCGTCCAGGTTTCAATAACGAAACGAAGAAGTCGACATACTAGCTCAATGCATTATATGTTAATTCGAATTCAAATCTCACATTAAATTATAAGTTTCCTAGATCCGTTACAAATGGTATATTTCAATATCTTGGGACTAAACACTTAGTTTCATGCTTTTGGCGACATGCTTCCCTGTGAGCTTCTTTATTATCTTGTGAAGGTAGGTGTGAAAGAGATAATAGTAAAAAAGATTGAGATTGATGGTGGACAGTAAAATCTCAGGCTCTATTATTGGAGATGAGCAGTCAAAGTTACGTAGAAGTTAGTATGAAAGTGCTATGATTTTTTTTTTTGACCAGAGAAAGTGTTATGATTTGATAGTAATTGTCGCTGCTAATCAGTACTAGTAATTGACTTCGACTAACTAATAATAACTTACGGCCGAAATAACCTATTATGGGTGTATGCAGCTTTGTTTCGGTTATCCATTTATTCGTGGGCGTGGCGTACTGTCTTGTGAGCTGGGCCGTGGGCCTACCCAAGCGAGCTGTAAGTAAACTTCAAATTCACTCGGCCCATATCTCATCATCATCGCCCAAAAACGTCCAAAATCCGCAATGTAGGAGAACGTGTTAAAACGTTTGGAGACATGAAAAACACTACTATCAATTTATCGCAATTTTCTAAAAATCATATCTACAATTTTTGTTCATTTATCAATGGCATGTATTCTGATACGTGAATGGCATATTTATATGCTTTGTAGCCCATAGACTCGAACCTGCTGAAGGTGCTGATTCCTGTGGCAGTGTGTCACGCGCTAGGCCACGTGACCAGCAATGTGTCGTTTGCAGCTGTTGCGGTTTCCTTCACACACACCGTTAAAGGTGATCAAATTTCTAAAAATTGCCTCAAACTCGTTATATTTGTAATTTTGTAATGTAATAATTGTGAGCTCTTTTGTTTCAGCTCTGGAGCCATTCTTCAATGCCGCTGCTTCCCAATTCATACTTGGCCAGCCAATTCCTTTTACCCTCTGGCTCTCTCTGGCTCCTGTTGTTATTGGTATGATCGTCTCTTGACCGGTGGTTGTTTCTCTCCCACGGTTCACCATCTTCTATCAAATTTTAATGTCATACATGACTATCCTGTATGAACTTGGGATAATGAATATGCTTGCTTTAGAACCAAGATATAATAGAGGTAATATTACATATAAGGATAAATGTGAATCCGACGTAACATATAATAAGTTATTTGAATGAAACAGTTAAATCAAGATGATATATGTTCAACCATATCAACAAAATTTAATCAATATTTTTAAGTCAAAGTTTGATTGTTGTGAGGGAATATGCAGGTGTGTCAATGGCTTCACTGACTGAGCTCTCATTCAATTGGACTGGTTTTATAAGCGCTATGATTTCAAACATTTCATTCACATATCGCAGTATCTATTCAAAGAAGGCTATGGTAATATTCCTCTTCTCTCTCCATTGGTCACATTGATCATTACTAAGAAATTGAGACTTGACTGAACCATATTATGCGCTCCCTGACACGACTCTATTATTCTGCAGACTGATATGGACAGTACAAATGTGTATGCCTACATTTCCATAATTGCCCTAATTGTCTGCATACCACCAGCCATAATTGTGAGTAAATTGTACTTGCGGCCCTCGTGATGAATACAAAAACCTTCATATAACCCATGGACTTCTTATCGTTCATTATTTGATCACACAGTTCGAGGGGCCTGCACTGATGAAGGGTGGTTTCAGTGATGCAATTGCTAAAGTTGGTACTGTCAAGTTCGTGTCAGATCTTTTCTGGGTCGGAATGTTTTACCACCTCTACAATCAGGTAAGCATATGCCACCAGATGAACTTATTCGATGCCTTACCCTTTTTTTTTTGTTGGGAGCAAAATTTGATGCCTTATCAATCTAGCAAAAATACACTAACTTTACCAAAGAAGACATATTCTTTCACACACAATTACATTTTCTTTCCTGTGTTATTTTCTTCTAGTACATGATTGTATGATAGATGGAGTTAACAATATTGTTGGCGTTCTTATCACCAGCTGGCCACCAACACTCTGGAGAGGGTGGCTCCTCTGACTCATGCAGTTGGGAATGTACTGAAACGTGTGTTTGTGATTGGCTTCTCAATCATAATCTTTGGTAAGCATATTTTCCTCTTCCATTTTGGAGCTCTAGTTTAGTTAGTTTCAATTTTGATTGCTTTAATAATCTAAATGAATGGTTCTTGCGTTCGTACATGACAGGCAACAAGATCTCCACCCAAACTGGTATTGGAACATGCATTGCAATAGCAGGAGTGGCCATCTATTCTTTCATCAAAGCCAAGATGGAAGAGGAGAAACGAGTGAGTGCAAATGAAACGACTGAAGAATAATAATATATATTTACAGTGAGTTGTATATGATTATGCTTTTTGTATGATGGTTTTCATTTGTTCTGCTCCTCGTGTGGCAGCAAGCGAAAGCGGCATAAGGAACAAGAGACGTGCGTCTGAGCGCTGGAAATCATATCAATCATCACAGATTTGCTTCAAAAATAATAGAGTGATGGCTCCATATTGTATTATCCTTTCCTTGTAATAATTTCTGTTTCTTCCTCTCCCTCTCACCCTTGTCAATTTTCTCATCCTCTTTTTTGATTCTATCAAAACCAAAGTATTTCTGTTTGCTGATTCGCAATCATCTCATGTTGACTGAACCATGATGTATTCATGATTCCCTCGGGACATGTTTAAGCTCTCCTTTTCAATTCCCTTGGTCTCAGAAATTGATAATAATACTGCTTCTCATATATGAAAAGTAGCCAGCTATACATGGAAGTCATTGGCTTGTTGAGTGGACTAATAATGAGTAGAACGAAAATCAACGCAAGGGGATTAACAAAATTTATTCCTTAAATGAGCATATAACATGGCTTTAAGATATTTTATTCTTGTTAATATGACTTTGATATATATATATATATCCAATCAGCTAAAAAAGTTGTTTATTCATACGAAAGAGGAGTGAGGAGCTCAGTTCCCGCCATGTTTTATTTTGTTTTAAATATACAAAACTTATACATAAATTACTTATTTTTCGTACATGTTCGTGTCATTTTGAGTCCATTTGATAAAAGTTTTCCCAGTGTAAACTTTCAACCTACGCTGTTGTTATCTATAGTTTGCTTCGTTTAAAAAAAAAACCCTCAGAAAACTGCTCTGCGTCTACTTTTCTTACAAGGTTGTGTCAAAATATTTATGGAGCAATTGTACAGAAAAAAAGGATACTCCTCCGGTTTTAAATGGTTCTAAATGTAAGATCCTTATACACACTAGTATAAAGTCTTATATTTAGGACCGGAGGAGTATTTTATTATGAAACAAAAAGACATCGAAGTAAAGTAAAATGTCGAGATTGGCTTTGTGAAGTATTCTTATTCTTAATATAATTTACCTCGTTCTTTATTACTTTTAAGCTTTAGATGGTTGCGGCCAAGCTACAATAATAAAAATTGTGGCCAACCCATGAAACTGCTTCTGTAGTTTGAGGAAATTGAATAAAGAGTTAATATTTGAGTGCCCCTTATTTTCTTGCCTATTATATTTTGTTATGATTATTTAATAACATTTTTATTTCTTCAATAAATATAAAATGCATTTTAAACACATTGTTGTTCTCTTATTCTTACTCTAAAAGATAGAATTTATTCGCACACAAAATTAAATACTACCTCCAATGGTCCTTAATATAAGGGTTGTTTGAATTTTATTTTGATCCTAATTATAAGATTTCAATTCATTTATTTCTCATATTATTCATTTTTTCTAAGTAATCTTAATAATAATGGTTGTTATAACCAATATACTTGGTTAGCAAGAATATTTTAAAAATATAAACTTATTTATTATAAATAATTAACTTAAATAATTTTTAATCTATTTAAATTAATCAATAAACTCTTATATTAAGAAACATGAGATTTAGTATAATGAAAAATAAAATTAAAATGAACCCCCCGCTATATCCACTTTCTTGACCCAAACTAAATGACTTAATCCGTATTAAAGCCCAATGAAAAAGCCCATAGGAGGGAAGAGAAAAACGGAAAGGCACATCAAACTGGGCCCAAAGAAACAAAAAACACGAAACATCGATTCGCTGATCGCATCAGACGCGAAAGATCCCAAAGAGCAGAGCCAATCAGAAGGAGCCTTCAGAAAAATTTAAAGAACTCCATTCAAAACGCAACAAAACACACAACTTGTAATTCAATTTCAAACACTCGCACATCACCATGATCCCACACACACGCACACTAATTAAATTCACCGAAACAACAACCCCCGAAATTGCTAAACCTTAAAATTAAAAGAACTAAAAAAACGAAAATTCTGACAAGAACCGTGGAATAAAGGTTCATCGAAATTAGAACAACGTGTAGAGATAGAGAGAGAGAAAGTCAGACAACACAGATTTCATCTCATCAAATAAAAAAGGAAAAACGCAAAAAGAAAAAAAAAACTGAACTTGTTAACAAAAGTCATCTCTTTTTTTGATTTTTGTTTTTAGTCATCGTTACCGAGTTCTCGTTTGACACGAACATTCATCACACCGTTAATAAAAAGAGAAACAAAAAAGCCAGTATTTAGTATTTACGAAGGAAAATAAAAACGAATTATGAAAGGTGGTGGAGGAATTGTACTTGTAGGAGTCAAGGGAAACTGTTGTTGGCTTATCTTTGTTTTTCGATTTTTGTTATTAATATTATTATTGTTTTTCGGTTTGTTCTTTTATTCTTCAATCGTTGTTCTTTCTTTTCAATCCCTCATTGTACGCTGATGCTTTTTCTTATTTATTATGTTATTTCTAATTCTTTTTCATCCCAGGATAATAATCTTGTGCCTTTTCAATCCTTGACTATTACGGAATTTTGGTTTAAGAGAGAGGAAGGTAGAGATGAGACGGTATAGATAAGGGAAAAATATTGATTCTTTTCGGTAGCCCTAATTTTCTGTTTTGGTTCCTTTTTCTTGAGCGTTCTGGATTTCTTCTGGGGGTTTGAAGGAGGTAACTTCAGGGAACCTTCGATCTTGATCGTTCTTCAATGGAGGCCGAGTCTGTGTCTGACGGGGAGAATAATCGGAAAAGGGACGCCGCTGATGATTACAATGACAACAATAATGGAAGTAACAAAAAAATTGTAAATTCCAATGAAGGGCAGAGCAAGCCCAAGCGTCAGATGAAGACTCCTTTCCAGCTTGAGGCTCTGGAGAAAGCTTATGCTTGTTAGTTCCCTTCTTCAATTTTTGATCTCCCTCTCTATCTGTAGTTTTTTGTTTTATTAAATTTTTACGTGTTTTTTTTTTCAATTTGAAGATTTTGTTTGATATGCGTTCAATCCGTTTGCTAATGGAATGGACTATTTCTGTTGATTAGTGGAGACTTACCCGTCGGAGGCGATGAGGGCAGAACTGTCGCAGAAGTTGGGGCTGTCGGATCGGCAATTGCAGATGTGGTTCTGCCATAGGAGGTTGAAAGACAAGAAGGACGTGCCCAAGTCTTCAAGAAAGGCGCCACCGCCGTTGCCCGCTTCACCGACGGACGAGTTGAGGATGGAGACTGAACTTGCCAATGATTATGGATCCGGGTCGGGTTCGGGCTCAAGCCCGTTTACTCGTTCAGAATTGCGGAATGTAGTACCTAGGGGTGTTCCTGGGTACTATGAGTCGCAGCAGGCTCTTATGGAGCTCAGAGCAATTGCTTGTGTGGAGGCGCAGTTAGGAGAACCCTTAAGGGAGGATGGACCTATTTTAGGAATTGAGTTTGATCCATTGCCGCCAGATGCATTTGGAGCACCTATCGGTATAACGCTTAGTGCTTTTGTTTTTCCTCACATCAAGATTGTGTTAACTCATCTTCAGTTTATGCCTTGTCTTTATATGTTTTATTGTTCATTTTTATTTGTTTTTTTTATTTTTTGCTAGGACTATCGGTCTCTTACAGTCTTGTATATAACAATTTAACTGTTAAATCAAGTGGGCATGGTTAGAATCTTCACATTGTTCAATTACTTAGGTATCATGAGTTTGTTGGTGTCTGTTTTGTTTCTTAAACATTCTGTATTGTATGAATGTTGTAGCGATTAATGTTCATATACAGCATCTTTGACCACCTCTGGGCCTTTTTTGATAGTAGACATGTGGTTGCTAGAATCAATAACTTATGTGGCATGAAGGGTTGATAAACTTCTGTTAGTTTTGCGTGCTTCTGTTTTGTTTGGCTGCTGACAATTTGGCGACTCTGTTTTTTTCTTGGAGCAGCAGTTAATGAGCAGCAGAAGCGGCCTAGTCTTGGCTTTGATAGTAAAGTCTATGAAAGACACGATGTTAGAACAAACAAGGTTGGTTTTCTGTTATCTGTATTAGATTGCATGCAAGTTTATATGCATTTAGTTGCATGTGACTCGCAAGAGATCATTTTTTGTCATCACCGTGGTTGAGTGAGAGATACTTATGATGATTGAGTACCTTTCTGAATGCTTATCCTATTCACTCAAAAGCCCTTAAGATTTTCACTAGTTAACCACTTGTACCAGGTATTGTAACTTGCTTACTGTTTTGATTTTCGCCGTTTTTCAACATCTTGTCTCTGTTGTTAGCATGAAACATGAAATAAAGTGTTTAGTAACTTCACAACCATATAATCGTGTTGGAACTAGTTTTGACATCCTCAGCTTGAGTGATTATTCATTTGTATTCTTATGTTTCGATTCAATTCGCCGTATTTTTTGTTGTTTATTCCACTTTTGTCCTTTTTCCTCTCTGGTTTTGAAGATTATATGTTTGAATGCTCAGTTAATGCAAATTCAGATTGTAGAATGTGTTCCTTTAATTCATAGAAAACATGTTACTGCCTCCATTATCAATATAAGTAACTAATGAAGCTAGTCACACATATTAGGAAACAGTTTAGTGTCTAAACCAGTATTTTATCTTTTCTATTTTGCCTCCAATAAAGATATGTAGTTGGCCCAATGGTTATTACTCTTCATTGGAAAATGGAGAGTCCAGTGGTTATTTATGGGGGGCATTTTTGTAAAAATCAAGTGAAACATTTATGGAAGTTTGCAATGTTTCTTATTTCTGATAGCAAAGGATTCTCTTAATTTATTGCTTATATTGATAATAAGGGAGTATTTTTAAAATATAATCTTAAAACTGCTTGTTCTGCTAGATAAGAATTTTGTTTACTGCTTGGTTGCTTTTCTTAGAGTCTTTGATTTTAATTTAGCTCCTTTCCAGGCTATGACAAGGGCCTTCCATGAATATCCATTTCTCCCAACCACTCCAGTATTAGATCTGATGCTTATGGACAATTGACACAATCTCATTTACTTGATCCGATGGATGGTCCAGCCAGAACTCCGTCTTTTGTAGTAAAAATGAACAGCTTCCCAGGATTCATGCTGCCCAAGGCCATTCGTCACGTGTTCGTGTTTCATCTCTACAAGATAAGCAAGGGCTTCCCTTTCCGTCGCCCTCTCGTGATGATGATGGCCCTTCTCAAAGGGAATCTTACCCAAACCTAAATATTGGAATGAACTCTCACTTTACTGATCACCCAATTGTTGGACCAGAAAACCCTTATGGGGTAGTTGGTGGACAAATCTTCCCTAGCGATGCAATATTACGGTTGACAGAAACGAAAGGTATTCTTTATTGAGCATCGTTTTTATGTTTTATTTCTCCAAACAGTCTTTGCCGAGAATTTATAATTATAAACTTTATGCAGAGTGATGATTCTAGAACTGCAAGAGAAGCTGAAGCCCATGAGATGAGGATCCAGAAGGAGATAGAGAAACAAGATAACATTAGGCGAAAGGTTGTTTTTGAAATGAAGTGTGAAATTTATGAATAGATGTTGAATATGCTTGATCTGATTCCCTTTTGTTCTTCCTCTCGGTTTTAGAATGAAGAGAGAATGAGGAAAGAGATGGAGAGGCAAGATCGTGAAAGAAGGAAGGAAGAAGAGAGGCTGATGCGTGAGAGACAGAGAGAAAAGAAAAACAAAGCGTGAGCAAAGACGTGAAATTGAACGAAGGGAAAAGTTTCTGATGAAGGAAAATTTAAGAGTAAGTCTGTTTGTGAGCCTTGTAGCATGATCATCTGTTAGCTAATATTGAAACCTTTGAGGATATGTAATGTAT